ACTCTCCCCTTTATTTGCTGTAATTATAAATCATATTTATTTTTTTAATTTATATTTATAAAAATTAAAAAAAAATAATTAATTATGGCTCCGAAAAAGATAAATAAACAAACTTTGTTTCTGTATATACACCGCATGCAGCCATGGAGGGGCCCCATCAACGCAGAAAGAGAAAAATAATATATTTTTTTTGGATAAATAAAAACAATTAAATTATTTTTAATAAATTAAATTAAATAAATTTATTTAAAATTAATTTATTTGTTTTTTTATTCTCTTTATCGGTGAGCTGAATGTATTGTGTTGGGTTGACGCGAGCTGCAGTGACACCCGAAACTGAACTCTATGAATCCTTTTTTTTTTTTTTTATAAAAAAAAGATAAAATTATTTTTAAATTAATTAAATTATTTATATTTATTTTAAATTATTTATTTTTATTTAATTCTCTTTAATTATATATATTTATTGCTTTCTTCTGATAGTATTATATTATATTGAGCTGTCTATACACACCGCTCCTCCGCCGATCATATAAACCCCTAATTATATATAAATTTATTTTTTTTTATTTATTTAATTTACTTTATTTTAATAAATAATAATTAATTTTTATTTAAAAATAAATATTTTATTTAATTTAATTTATTAAATTTTTCTGCTCAAGGAATAACATTTTCTATTCTATTTAAACAGCAAATGCACCTTCTTTTGTTTTTTTAATAAAAGTAAATAAATAAAAAACTAAATAAATAAATAAATAAATAAATAAATAAATAAATAAATAAATAAATAAATAAATAAATAAATAATAAATAAACAAATAAACAAATAAATAAATAAATAAATAAATAAATAAATAAATTGTGTTAAAGGGAAAATATAATTAAAAGACAAAACGAAATTTAGTTTTTTAAAAAGACAGCACCACCCCCGAGACAGCAGCGGAGGCATTCAGCTGTATGTACACCCCAATTCTCTTTTTTTTTTTTTTTTTTTTTTTTTTTTTTTTTTTTTTTTTTTTTTTTTT